TGTTCACGTGAACAGTTGAGAACCGTAGTTTGAGAGTGATCTATTTTTGGGCAAGTAACGTGGCTATCGCTGCTATAACCTTGCAGAAATGCCACGCTGCCCTTTACGGACCTAGTGACTGCTTGAACTCAGAAGTTAAAGCCGCACGGCTGAGCTGAAGCAGTCACTCAGCCTTCTCTTGCCATTCTCCTGTCTATATAGCGTTCAATGACCACTCAGACCCGCTCACACATGATAAGTTGCTCACCAATACCAACACATCCCTTGAGACGCCCAACTCCATAGACGCTTGGTGTTCTTTCGCAGATTTCGATGCTCTGGCAGCTGGTGTCCTTCATCTGCATGAGAATTAGTCTTGCGGTAAGCCCATGGAATGCTCTAGCGGCCAAGTAATACGACGTCACTATACCATAATTATCCCGAACTCCACCACTGGCTCCGGACCACTGGAGTTCACTTACCGCGTAGTTCACGCACCGTTACCGCAAGTGTCAAGTTCCACGTAGCGCATCATAATTAACCCATTCAACTACGTAAGCACACTTTGGCCAGGCTCAATATGTACATTGCTTGCTACCAGCAGTTGCTACAACATAATTAGAAAACAGCCCCATAATTTGTGTTCATTGACTGATTGCTCTGGATTCCTTGGAATTATCCCCCGGCTCCTTCAGCGTCAGTCTTGAGAGAGTACTGCGTCAATCACATAGGAGGAGACTGGCAACTATTCCTCAATGGCATGTGTTTCACTTTTACCGGATTAGAAGGAGGGGTGCAGCGGTCGTGAGTCGCCGAACCTTTTCTCCATCAGCCTATCTATAGTGGAATCTGTCTCCAAAAGCATGTAAAAATCCTCAACTTTGATTAGGAATCACAAGCATGTCTCCCCAGATAACTTGATCACTTTAAAACTTCAAAAAATGAGGGATACTGAAAGGTTTAAAATTCTACCAGTGCCATTATCAAGCGTCAGACAAAGATTGAAATAAAGGTGAAAGAACAAGGGTGGCACAACGCCCATATCGATGTAAGATGCAGGTATTCATCACGAATTCGCATATTGTTATATGTTATATTGAATGGGCACATTTCGCAATCCGTGCTATATAAAGCACCGGCCGTGAACGAAAGTGGAGCCGGTTATCACGTAGAAAAATTCGAATGTGTGGGGGTCACAGAGGTTCCAAAACGCAGTGCAGAGAAGAGAGCCCAGACAGGAACATTAAATTGATGGAGAAGTCTGTGGCCCACCAGACGTCACCTTTGTGAAAGACCCTATTTACTACGAACAATTTCTGGCCTTCCTTATCGTAACTGTAAGATGGAGATAGGGGAAAAAAGTGGCGGCTGTTCACAATGTATAAATACCATTATCAATGCCAGACAATAATTTGTAACAGAGGTGAAAAGGACAACTGGACTGAACGTGTATTGACGTAAGATAGACGAATGAGGCCGGGTATGAAGTGATGGAATCTTAACCGCTGATCAACCCTTTTTGGGATGCAGAACGCATTCTACTTCCACATAGGACTGTGGTGGCTTATTGAAAGCGATACGGCTATTCAATGACCTGCGGGGTCTAACCGATGTGTAAGTCAGTGATCTCATCCTCTCAAGCAAATCTGGTGCCAATTCACGGTCTTCGGAGGAAAGTAGGCTTCATTGACTCGGCCTGGAGAGGAGCCGGGATATGACCCTCAGGCCATGCGCGTGGTAAGCGTGCCACTTGCCTCTAGACCACCTCCGCCTCACTGGAAATCTCATATCGTAGATGAAGACCTTTTAGTCAGATGCGGTAAACTGGACCACATAAAAACTCATGGTTGGAGCAATCAACAAGTGGTGTTGCGAAAGCGCATACCATATCAGCGTATTTGAACGGACGTCAGCACTTTCGTTCGTACTTATCGTACATGCTAATCACACTTCGCTATTTAGTTTACAGCTTTGCTAAAGTGATAATGACTAATGAACTGAAGGGCAAAGTTCTCGACGACTATAAAGTTCTCGTAGCTTAACGCTTTTCGCACAGCATACGCGTAATGAGGCACTACTAGCTTAGTCAGCCTTTACGATCACCACAGAGTCCTGACCATATTAAAGTCGCCATCATAACCTCCTTAAACCGTATTTATACCTTGGAACACCGGTATAGGACCGGAAAAATTTGAGAGATCGGATGACTATAAGCTGACTCCGCCCAACTGGGGACTCGCATAATGAGAAAATTAATGAACGTCATCAAGTATCTGATCGTTTTCACGAGTTTCCCCCCTTCGCGGTTCTCCCCTATCGCTAGGATCACTGTGGCCGGAGAATATCCCGAGGAACCTTTCCAACCCACAGTTTCCAATAAGTAAATTAAATCTGATATCTTTCTGAATGTCTCGCCATAAAACGTGCGTAAATGTGTTAAGAATTGTTCCTATTCACCTTAAGATCTGTGTCAATCATCTCCAACAAATCAGATACAATAGTTGCGAACTTTAAAAGCGCAAATTCAAAACAAGTCACAATATTTATATTTCATTGAGGTGAACATTGGTATTTATGTACATACTCCGTATTACTAAGGTTTCATTCTCCCGTGTCGGCAGTATCGCTGGACTTCTCCCTCTGAGATCTTGGCTCGTCCTTGTCGTCGTCCCTTCTCTCCCCAGGCTCACCTTCATTCGATAACTCGTTATCCTCATCTGAAAAGTGTTACACACATAGAGTGCCCCAATTATATAGGGTGCCCCTAAACCTACTCAAGGATCCGAATTCAGTAGAAAACACAGTAATTTTGTATCCTCACTAAAAGACAAAGTTCATAGAAAGCTTATGTTTGGAAAAGCAGCGTCGGGCAAATGCCTTCCACGGTTTTGTTGGCACAACCATGCCGTCATTCACGACACCGACTCGATGTCCCTGGGTTTCCACCAACCCCCTCTGGCAGTGCTTCGATATTGTTTCTGAACGATTTGATCCCACAGCACCAGTGCGCCGCGCGCCTCAAGTGGTCCTGTCCGTCTAAGAACAAGCGTTCAAATAATAACATGAATGCATTGCATGAGAATGTTGGTGTAAGACCAAAAACGTCGAATCGGCATCGTGGACAACGTTGTGGATGTGCCTCATACCGGTGGCGATCATTTGTCTGATGCGTTATACCATAACCCTATTCTATGTCTTTGACAGAGAAGAGAAAAAAAACTGCAATCTCTTTTTTATGAAAATCTGAGTAGAATCCAGGAATAACCGATACTAAGGGTGTAATGCTCAGATTAGCGTAACTACTCCTAAATAATAACACTAGTAGCATACAAACCTGCAAGCAACTTCTGGAAGTTGGCGAGTATTATGTTGAGCGCATGAAGATGATTTCTGCGTTCAGATAGCTGCAATCAAACGCATTATCACGTAAAATAGACATTGGCAACAGAAAGAACCACAGGGATAGAATGGATGAACCGGTACGGTCGATAAGGCAACCTAGAAGAAGGCACTGCAGAGTAGGAGGCAACCAGATAGGAACGTAGATAAAAGAGTGTGTGGAAAAGCAATAAACACTTCAAAACCATTTGTCTCGTGACGCCGCCTAGCTAGAACAAAAGGAAAATTGGTCTGCCAATTTACTGGAGATGAACCAACAAGCCAAAGGCCTTGTGCAGCCTTTTCCTTTCCTTTATAAAGTGAGAAGCAGTTACAGGATCTCGCCAGGGAACAATACAGTGGTGTATGAAATGGCGATGTAGGTGCTACTGCCCCTCCATCCTGAGCAGGGCCATGGAACGACTTCGATACCTATCTACTAGCACCCATAAAACTGATAACTCGTCTTGGATCCTAACTCGACCCCTAACACCTCAGTGGTACAAAAAGCCATTGAGCTTAGAGACTAAGAGCGGGCCCGGTGGTGTAATGGATAGAGCACATGTCCTATAAGCGGGAGATGCGGGCTCGAGTCTCGCCTGGGGTCTGACAGTGGCCATATCTCATCACTCTTGCGATAGTGAATGGTAGGACTTTGGTGCGGGGAGTATAGAGTTCAAAGGGAGTGAGTACTGACACAACGACAACGTGCTCTCTCCAATGCTGCATCAGCGCCTAATTGAATATTACGGAAGAAAATGAGAGTACTAGAATCCCAGGAAATCAAAGAAACTTTAATATTCGATCTTCACCGACAGTAACCATAAAGAGCTCCCATCACGGATATTACATCCCCTTCTAGCGCCGAGATGATGTGCCACCATTCGATGCAAATTCATCACACCCTTTGCAAAAAAAATCGTAATGCACATGGATAAGAGGATTATTTTGTGCAGGAATAGCACATATTTTGATTGTAGCGCCGACCGAAGCGTAAACTGGGGGCATAGGCTCAAGACCTGGTCGAAACTACTGATTGACGCGGAACCGAGAAAATGGTGCTCTGTTCCTGAATAGGGCGCCTAACAAAACCTCCAGGTAAAGTTTCTACATCAGAAATTTCTCGACATTTCTGGTGTTATAGAGGTCCAACACTGACAGGAAAATAATCCATGAGGAGTAGATGGCTAGAGAAAATTTATAAAGAAATAATAAAAAGTAACGTGGACTGAGGCTCACCCTAGCTTCAAGTTGTTGCTGTCGTTCTTGTTGTTGACTAAGTTCTTCCTGCATGTCCTCCAACTTCCTGAAATTCGGATGTGATTACGAACAACAAAAGAGAAACTTTCGGCCAGTTCGACCCGGAAGGAGGAATTTCGCAACTTTGCTACTACCCATCGGTGTGTGGAGCCATCAAGTGGGCACATGTGAAATCTTGAAGCTATGAACTTGTCAACTCTTGGAAAGCAATGAAATGAAATAATGAATCGTTCCCATGCTAGCTCAACGAGCTTGCTACACCGTCGAAAGAGTTTACAGATTTCAGAGTGAGACTTGTAGACAGGATCTGGTAAAGCAGCGGAAGCGCAAAATGCCCCCCCCCCACGCCGTCACTGAACTGCGGCGGAATTTTCCATAAACAGTGCTTCAGGAGCAGAGGATAACCTCTAACAAACCTGGTCGTTTCTGCCCTGGACGGAAGGTCGTCGATCATTCCAACCAACAAAGCATATTCTTTACGATTTTTACGCACAAGCCGTGCCGCTGTAAGTTCCTTTTTCGCTTGAGCCATTTTCTCACGACTTATAGCTATCTGAAACAACCCAGAAATAAATAAAGGTAACTGTGAAGATTAAGTAAAAACTTCCTATTATTTAAGTCTAAGAGATGAGCTGCGACATCAATACATGTATTTCCCGAAAACTATTGCAAAAACGACTACCTCTCTATCCACTCGTTCTGCCATTTCTTCGTATTCTTTCGTATGTCGCTCACTCATCTCAGCAATTTCGCGTTGCTTTCGCATTGACAGTTCAAGGGAATCAATCTGAAGCCAAAAAAATTAGCAAATTTGGATGCATCCACACAAGGAATGCTACATTCATAGGAAAAACTCAATTCACGAAAGAAATTCGTGGTGATTAGATTAGAAACAGAGCAATAGAAAACTAGTGGTGAGCTTGAGAAAAGCATTTAAAACTCACTAAGCGCAGTGCTTTTACAGCCTCCGCCTTGCTCACAGTGTTAGGATTTCGAAGCAATCGAAGACATCCGTTGAGCAGTTGAAAGCGGCGTTCTTCACCCGTTCCTTCACCATCGGCAAGCAATTTGCGAAGCAATACTTCTTCCCTCATCTTCAAGGATTGATTATTTAGCGTGGAATGCCTGGAGTGACTTGTCTGAACACTAGCGATTTTCAACCCAACAGAAAAGGAAGCTACGGAAAGCACGAGAAAAACCAATACCAAATACATTTGGCACGTTAATTACTCAAATTCTTTTTCAAATGTGTGCGCTGTTTGGAATGGTGGGGGAGGAGGAGGGGTGGTGAAGAAGCTTTGCCATTCACGTGTTACTTTTGCTTGTTCCTAGACATGTTTCACCTTGTTGAGACCTGTTTGTGGACCCTTGCCAAGTATAAACAAAGCGGAACAATTGGTAAACTGACGAAGTATGACCTCGATGCACAACAATTTTGCCCAATGCTCGTGACATCGCCGCGGACATATCAAAGCTATGGCGAAGCCCGCTGCTGCACTAATTTCTGCACATTCACTTTCTGAAAAAGCATAAAACTTTTCCACTGAACCCAGTTCCCCGTCCTACTTATTCATTATTGCTGTGAGACAAAAACCGATCTACAACCGCTGATGTGGAACCAGAAACACTTGTAATTCTTCGATGTATTTAGTTCGGATCCGACCACACACTGTGAAACAGCAAATAATAACAAAAATTTATAACAAAAGCAACGATCAACAATCGTGTTTAGGCAGCAGATTCCATCTTAACATGTCGTTTGTTGTGCTTCTTGGCAAAGCGTAAGTTCTTGAGGAATTTAGGATCGACACCCTTCATCGACATGAATCTTTGCTTCTTTGGCCTCTTGATACCGTTACGGTGAGCCTTTCTGTCTGAAAAAAATCATTATCACATCGCAGTGCGAGGAAAGACCGTTCAACGTCTTTTTCTAAAAGACAAGACGAAAGCAAAAAAAAAATTCCAAGCGCAACTGCTGAAGTAGTGCCTCATGAGCAACACCAACATATTAATATTTGAGATAAACCTAAACGTTTAAAGCACCTAAAAAGATTCCGCGGGAACATCATCCCACCTCCCACGCAATCGCGTGTTGAATACCGTTATACTGCTCTCATCCAAGAGTGAGCGTCCAAGTTTATGAGCTGATTTGCTGCTAGCTGCGAATTTAAATTCCGCAAAAATCACGTATTCCCGAATACTTGAGATTTGTGACACAACCACCACGAAGTTGTTGAAGGTAAAAAATCCTTGAAACATTCAATAAGGATTCACTAGATGCTCCTGTTCGGAAGCCACATAGCCGCGTTTACAACAGAGCACTAAAACGCGCAGTTCTGCGACGCGGAAAGGGACGTGGGGGGGGGGGTGCCTTGCACTTTTGCTCTAACCGACGGGACCAGCCATTAACTTGAGACCTGTGAAAGCTTGTTAAGCCACGAAATGATAACAGCCACAAGCCACTACAACCTTGTAAAGAGTACCTGTCAACTCGTGAAGCAGTGAAATATCATATAAATACCATTCACCACGGCGACTCGAGGAGCTTACCCCAGCTTCATAACAGTAAGACTTGTAAACTGGAACAGCGAAATAGCAAAATGTCCCCCTTTCCCCCTGCAAACTGCGCCGACCACATCCGCATTTTAGAACCGTGTAACTCTTCCCTGATTCCAAAAGGAAACCGAGAGAGCGTCGGGAGGCAAGAGCATCCCGAGCATTCTGACCCCCAGCCCTCATTCCAGAAAATTTCAAATAAGGAATGGCGAAATGAGGATTTCAGAGGAAAAAGTGTGGCGACAGTAGAAAAAGACCTGGCAAACCGATTAACCAGATTCATTGGTTCGATTCTCGATGAAGCCCATAAGTCTTCGAAAATTCGAGAAAATATTCATCAGGAAAACCACTCCACTACCAAAGTGATCCCCTTTTCTACTGTGGACCTGGACACTAATATCGGAAAGCAAAAAAACAACACTGTTTCTTAGAGAATCGAACCACTGGTTCGGGATGGTCGAATCGCATGTCCGAAAAAAGACGGGCATAGAAAATTTTTCCTGGAGCTGCAGCCGGGGACACGTGAGCACCAGTAAAACCCGCCAATTCCCTACCCCGTCGCCGAACTCCGCCTGTAGGGAATTCCCAGCGAGGCGAGGTGGGGAGGGATGGCTGCAACTTTTCCTACTTTTTCCCGTTTCCCGTAAGCTATGTGCTATACCTCCTCCCCGCTCGATGGCATTTGGAGAACTTCCCTCCAAACTCCAGAAAACTGGTTATAAGCTGGGCGAATTGAAGATGAAAGATAGAATGGGATGGACAAGGATACACGCACCAGGGTACAAAATTCAGATGCTAGCTCGGTGAACAAGAGGCCTAGGTTTTTCATTTCTTACTGGGGGATGCTTTTGCCTACAAGCCAGCACTGCTATGGTAATTTTCGGGTAGCGAACTGCGGCGGAACACATCATTTACCACAGCAAAACATATTGGAAGGTTCACTTTGCTAATGTTTTTATTGGAGGCATTGAAAGAACTCCAGTAGTTTAGCTCTCAACCACGACATGGAGAACAATAAATGCAAACAGCTTGGAAATAAATTTCAAAACTGAACTAAAGTAGTCCAACTTTTGTACAAAATGAATGTTAACAATGAATGTCAAACGTACTCTGATTATGATTCGTGTGATTCTTTGACTTGGCCATCTCGCCGGAATATTACCTGAAAGCGTCTTATCAAAAAAGTGAATACAAAAAAGCTTGAACAGATTAAGGGAAACGTTAGTCCCTCGAGCATCACAGGATCTCATGAAAACAAAAATGCGATATCATAGCATGTAAACATCCACAAACAATATGTACTACCCTATGCGGTTTTTTCGTACGAGTAAGTTTCCAAAAAGTAGTGGAAGATGCAGTTGTAAAGGACTTTGTACAAATTCTAGAACACATTCAAGAACTAAACTCCAATGACTATGCAACTGAGCAGGACAGGAAATATTACTCCTAAACGCGACGATAACAGTAATTGTACAAGTAAATACAAGAAAAAAATCAAAATTTTTAAGAAATCCCAAAATTCTGACAGGGAAAGCTTTCGGGCAGTCGAAGAAACTCGTCCACTAATGTCGCGCTTCTCGGCAACCTCTTGGTTGCCAATGATAAATCCGGTAGCCTAACCGCTGAGCGACGTCGTTCGCGAAATCTATAATTTTAGTAATGCGAAGACATCATCGTTGCAGGACGCGCGAGACAGTGAAGGAACATGTCCTATAACATCGGCTTGTTTCGTGCTGGCTAGCGCCGGGCGCATCGTTGTTGGGGAATCCCCAACAGGGGAGTCGTATTTGGGCTGAGAAAAATTTATTTGGATAGTTGATCTTTTTTCGCCTTACGGACGTTGTAATAGGGGAGGGGAGGGGGGAGTCGTGTTTACTTTTTGGCCTACTAAGAGTGGTGGGAGTGGTGGTTGAATTTTCGTGATTTTCCTGTTCATGCGTGCTCCCCCCAAACCGCTCGACAGCGAAATTTTTGGGAAAAAGTAGGGAAGTCTTCGAGAAATTTTGGAAAAAGTGGCACGAAGTTGGTGAAAGATCTGAGAATTGGTAGAAGGAGGGAGATATGGTCGTATTGTCTCGCGGCTTTTCCTGTTTCACATGTGCTATTACCCTCTCCCCCCCCGCGCCGCTAGTCAGCAAAATTTTGTCGAAGAAAAGGAAAGTTCTGGGGCTATTGACCCTTTATTGCCCCAATCTTCCAAAAACTCCGAGAAATTCCAAAGGAAAAATCTAGTAGGAAGTTGGAAAATTTAAGAGAGTCGGTTTTTCTTCTCACGTGTACGATGTACCTCTCCCCCTCTCCGCTCTACAGCTCAGTCGTACCAGGGTAGAGAACTAGGGGGTGTCATAACAAGCCACGGTGGGAGGGGTCGTACGGACTTGACCAAAATCCCCAACCAATGATGTGCCCTAGGCTAGATAAGTACTGTAGATGTTGTGATCATTGTGGGATCATTGTGGGAACTCCCCCATGTTCCCTTCTCGTGAAGGATCTGGGTGGGCTATTGAATGCGTGTTTGGCCTGCACGTAGCCTTGGGGAGCAGTGGGTATTCAAGACTGATTTAGAGGTTCTGCGGATGTTTGTGTCTCGACAGAAGATGCTAGGAGCTAGGAATGCCACGCATGCTAGGGTTAGAAGTGGGGATAGGAGATCCGAGTGACAGCACCGGCGCGCGAACTAGCGCATATTTCGTAGGCACGGTGTAACGTTACCATCGAAAGTCGAATCAGTTGACTCTTGGAGCGAATTTCGCGCACGTTTCGCCATTCGCGACGCATTCTTTGCCGACTCATGTCTGTAGAACTCCATTCTAGAATACGTAGATGACGTACTCGGTTATTAAGCTTACTCATCCTTTAGAACAAGGAACTAGTGAGAAGCAGATGGAGAGCTTCCCCTTCGGCTGGATGGGACGAAAAGGCATCGGACTTAGATATCAATTCGTTTTTTTTGCAGCTGGCATAGCCGTTCCGTTTTTATAACCGGAAATACGAGGATATGGATTTGGTCACTTTGATGGTGCGCGAAGCAACGCGAAAACAAGGCAGCCACGCCCACGACATAGCCTGGCTTATATCTTGTTGTAGGAAAAACTTAAGGTGCCAGATAGGGAGAAGCGTGCTCGTGTGATGATTACCACTCCCCTCCCCCACTCTACGGCAGTTTTTCAAGGGAAAACCATGAAATCTGGGTAAACGACTCCGGAAAAGTTGTAGGAAGTCGTGAGAGTTTCGGAATATTGTGGGTTGGATAGGGAATGTGGGGGGGAAGGGGGCGAGATCGCATCAGAGGAGGCAAATTGCAGAACTTCTCCTGAGGGCGTGCCCTGGTCGGCGTTGAGAAGAGAAAGATTGACAAAGTATTTCTGGCGTAATCTCTGATTGAATCCCCAGCATGCGTATTCGCTTCTTTGCACAAAAATGAACCTTGGCTTTCGATCAGCTTGCTGGTGGGCGTGCTTGCTTGGGACGGAACTCCCGTGATTCGGTGGTAGACTTGCCGTTTGTATTTCTTTTCATTTGCGCGAGCTTATAAATTCTAAAAAAAATCTTCGCCAATGATCCTCTCTCTGCGCCACGCATTCTACTTCCATCCAGGATCTAGTAGCTAATTCAGTGCGTTGTTGCCTATACAATGACTTGCGGGTCAAGCGATCTACAAGTCAGTGTTACTTACCATGAATCTGGTACCATTGAAAGGCTCTGTTGGCCTAGATTGGACCCGACCTAGGACTTGACAGCGTGGTAAGCGTGTCACTTGCCTATACCACCTCCACCTCTGTGGACAAGGCACGTCCTGCCGCTGGAATAATTCCGGGAAGTAGGACGCTCCCTAATTTCTTCCACTGATACGAACGAGCCCTCTCTCTCTCATCTTACTTACCATTTTCCCTACATGTCTTTTCTTCTCCAGCGTTTCCCGAAAATTTCCTAGCTTTCCCCCTAAATTTTAAAGTCGAGCGAGGGGTAGAGCAAATGTAAAACGGGAGTGATCGGGAAGAAACACAACCGGGAGAGATTTTTCGCGACGCAATTTTTTCTCAGAGGTGAATGAGACTCCGGACCCTACAAACAACGAGCAAATACGACCCTCCCCTTTTCCCACGGAACGAATACGACCCCCGCTGGGGTTCCTAACGTACGAAGTGGTGTGCCTGTGGTGGTGTGGAAGCCGCCTATGCATTAACAAGCTGTCCCTACGGTAACTTTTTATATTTTGGATTTGCTTTTTCAGAACAGGCTTTGAAGAAGTAGTGGTTTGGCCTATGGTTCAACCATTTCCAGTCAAAACGGATCCAAATTCGTATCCCTAACATGTCGACTAAGGATTTGCGGCGCCATCGTCTATCACTTTTGCGACGCCGTTTGCGATTCCGGTGCGTAAAGTGGAGTGGCGCCACGCGAATATACCTCGTTACGCGCGAGCAACAACCGTGAAATTTTCGCCATCACAAAGGCCCGTGCGTTTGGAGAAAAACTCATAGTTTTTCTTGTGATAACCTCCAGACGACGTGCCCACATTATTACTATTGTCACTACTATCGGAACGTTCTTGAAGTTCTTTTTTGAAGCGCTAACGTAGCGTTTTTACCTGGTTCACGAGCGCCTTTGGAAAAAGGCTAATCGAGACGAACAAGAAAACATGGATCTATAGTGGAAAAAGTATAGCTGTTAAACCAAGACGCGTGTCTCGGGGCAGTCTGTTGCGAGGTAGGGTCACGTTCTGACGCGATAAAGCGTCATTATGCTGCCTAGCTGAGAGGGTGCAGACACGCAGAGTGTGACGTGGCTTAGTCTCAGAATAAAAGAATGGTGGGGGCTAAGCTATGTCAGTTACCATTTGATTGGGAGCAAAGAAGGAGGACCACGCAGCAGCACTTCTTCGTATTTTCCCCTCTCCAAAGCTTTAGCCTAGAAGGGCACCAGGGCGCGACATAGAGTCGCTTCCAGGTTCGGCAGAGCAGACACGCGTAGCCGCGTGCTATCCGCACCCCTCCCCTTCCCGAACTACGTCATGATCCCAGTGTTCAGCGGCCTTGAGTAAGCCTCATGCTTAGTGAGAGGTCTCAGACGAGCCTAGCATCACAAGGATTAGTCTCGCTGAAGGGTGTCCCCCCCTCTCCACTCACATAGCGCTTTTATGCCTTTAAGCGATGCGTACCCGTGGGAACTGGAAGCCCTTCTGTGCAGCCATCTCTCCATTATGAAGATATTCTGGCCGCTCTATACTGATCGCATCGCAGCCGCTCTCGTCAACAGCTTGCAATTTCCGCACGACTGATTAAACGTTTTTTTTTCAACTTGGCCGCGCAGTGCGCAAAATTCAGTCACGCCAATATGGGCTGATATGTGAGATATGTGAGACAGCTTCGACGCGGTCACTGACCGAGTGCTCAATCTGATTTTCATGATGGCGCGATGGTATAACTCTCTCTAAAGCCAAAAGTAGTGAACAGATTCTAGTAAACGTTGTGCTCTAAGAGCCCGACTACATCAAAGGTACAGTTCATGCTGAACATAAGGGCGGTGACAGTCAAGCAGTGGCATAGTCCATGCTGGCCATGTGAGCGGAGACAGCCAACTGCACCTCATCGTTGACGGACCTCTCATTACAAGGGCGAGTAGGGGCGCTCAATGTTTAGAGCCATTGGTTGGCTGTCCCCGCCCATAATATTGTAACGTTGCACCTTCAAAAGTAACGCTTATAGACCTGTACCTTTGAAAGTGCACTTACTAAACTGTCTAGTTTTGAAATTAACACATTGCTTTTTATTGAGAAATATTATCAATGTGCATCCGTTTTGTATGTTTTTTCAAATCGAAGTTCCGACAGAATCCTTTGCCGCAGGCCGAGCATTGAAAAGGCTTCTCCTTCGTATGTGTATGCATGTGAAAGGCGAGATTGTATGCCTGATGGAAACCCTGAATAAGTAAATTTTTCGTTTTATTACCGTTCTATCACATTTATTGTTTAATTGACTTGAGGGAGCACCACTGCGCGTTTGGCCACAAGGCTAAATCTCAAAAAAACAACGATTCAAACCAAAAGCTACTCATCACTATGACCGAGAAGGATATCTGCCCTTGTATGTCGGAAAAGTCGGACACCGGTCAAAATCTTGACATTTTTGAATTTTTTCTCAGCTAATAAGTGTAGTACGGGCGAGAATAGATGACAGTGAGATTCGGCCATAACAGGAGGGGGAGGGGGTATACGGCATAGCCCGGCTTGGCACAACGGCTCTCAGCTGAGCTTGTGCAGACCAGCTTGTAACTATCTCTATTCATACGACCAAAGCGGCCCACTCGCAGGTTTTGCAGCTTCAGGAGATCACAGTGCCACCAAAACGAGGCCTATAGGTGAATTAACAAAAGAAACTAGAGAAGGTCAAGTGTTCCTTCCAAGCCTAACAGTCCTATGGCACACAAGGCGCAGCATGGTAATGTTTGAGGTGGTTGTGTAGGTACGACCCCCCCCCTTCCACCTAAATGAGGGTCTCGGTACGACCCCCACCCCCATCCCAGCACCTACCCACCAATTCCCCACCACATTTTCTAGTTTTTTACCCAGAAACGTTCCGAGCGGGGTACATAGTGCACATGAAACAGGAAAATCACGCAGAAAGTCAACAATGGAAAACCAACGCGACAAATTCCTCTCAAGGCACATACGACCCCCCTCCCCTTATAGCCGAAAAGTACGACTCCCAATGTGTTTCACACAAAGATGCTGCATCCCGATGGCTTACTCAAAAGCAGAAATCGACAAACTGAACGCTACCAAGTGCTCTCAACAAAAGTTGGAAGTCAAACGTACCTTTTTGCAAATGGGACACTGAAATCTCTTCCGATCTTCATGTGTCATTCGATGATTTCGGAAATTGCCATTTTGATGGAAAGCCTTTCCGCACACGTCGCAAACATACGGCTTTGTACCTAAGTTTAGCAAACCTATGGCAAAATTTCCATCCGAGAGGTGTAATAAAAGGCACAGTGCACGCTAGTCATATAGGCGGAGACACAATGTGCCTAACCGTAGCCCGAAAAATGCTGGAACTGAAGTGAATTCAGCTCCTATATAGCGAGATTCCTGGGTAGCTTGGCCGGCGGAACAAAGCTTCAGGGGTGGAGGGGCAAAAAGACTAAATTGTGACCGAATTTAGGATTCTAGACCAACCTAGATGGATCCGAGAATGTGTGTTGAGTGTGGATGATCGATTAAAACTTTTTCCGCAGATGGAACACTGTAAAACATAGTTTCTCAAACACTGTTATAATGCAGTGCTGAAATCAAAGAATTAATGACTGAGTTTATGTCAGAGAGTGATGAGTGGAGTGGTAAATGGAGCACGGACTCAGGGTCAAATCCTGAATAGGTTCTTGTTCGCGCCAACAAAGCTTTCCATCCCATCCATGGTTTGGCGCCAGGTAATACATTAGTTAACACCGAAGTTGCTTTTTTGTCGGGGGGGGGGCAGTTGGGCACTTCAATTGCTTCACTAGTTCTGGTTACAAGTCTTCACCCTGGTGACTCTGTGAACTCTAAACCTGTCAACTCGAGAAGAGGCTGTCTAGATGGGTCGACACGTCGATGGGAAGTCGTTAAAGTGCAAAATGCCCCCCCCCGCCGCCAAACAGCGCTTCGTGTGACCCAAGCCAAGTTCAAAAAATCGGTACGATAGCGACTGTGAGTGGAATACCTCGAGTCCCAAACGGTGTTTTGTCAGCACCGTAGACTTTATACTCTCATTATATATTGGGATTACTGGATAATTTCTAGTCACAACTACCAGGTACTGCTCATTTCGGGACCCTGCTCCACTAACAATGAGCCCACTCCAGCCTCGCTGAAGCGATTTGTCTTGTGCACTCAGCAGTGCTTCTTATTTGGTAACCTGGAAACACTGCATCGTAGAGTTTGGCCTGATCACCTCTTTCACTCTGCAAGGGCGTCCTTGATTCGTCTGCGCTAAGCTACGACGAGTGTCAGAGTTTCATCTACCGAGTAATCTCATTGAATAGGTCGGGTACGGTAGCATCGAGATGCCGATTAGCGCCACCCTCGAGTAAATCCGCCTATTCACAGCGGGAGGCAGAGGGTGGCAGCGGTGTTAGTGAGCGCTTCAAGAAGAATCAGAATATTAAGGTGACACTGGCTCTATCTAACGCGCGACGTGGCCTTCCTACAAGGTTATAGGTCCAATTCAAAAAGTTCGGGCTGCCGAGTTGCAATAGACTGACATGAGTGGCAGTAGCAGACAAACCTTCAAACATGGCTCTGCCAATGCTCAACCAGGCAAAAGATTAGCTAGGCCCGGACAATCCGACCCTGTAGGTGAGCAAGTGTGATGCGGGTTACACCACCCGACCACGTTACCCTTATACATCCTTTTCAACACCTGCAGTAGTGACCAAAAAGAAAAGAAAGGTAAAAAGAATGTTTAGGATGCCATCGCAGATGGAGATTGATTTACAATTGGTTTAAAGGCAGCGCCCGCGTTCATTTGTTGTTCCCACGCCCTCTTTGGATATCGTAGCTCACCCTATGAGGATGGTGGACGTACTAGTTTCGCAACTCAAAAATGCGAGAGAATAGCGGCGCCCGCTCGTGAAGAGTCGGCCACCCCGCCCACCTGGCGACCACTACGCCCAACTTCATTTCTAATGGTTGCCTGATGGTGCGGTTGTTCTGCTACTAACTCTCTCCACTTCGAATGGTGAGAGTGAGGTGATAAGGGAAAACAGCTGATACCAACAAGTGAGAACTCGTGCGGCCGCGCCTTCTCTTCGCCTCAAGCACGTACAACCTCAGCTCGGCGTGGGGTCTTATATAGGGCCTCTCCGATGAACTGTTTTGCATTTTTCTTCACTAGTGAACTACTTGCTACCTTGTTGTCACTGTAGGAGCCCCATAACTCATCAAATTGAACGCGGGCGCTGCCTTTAAGATAACAAAAAGCTCACTGAGGCGCTGCGACTTCGCGAACCTTTCCAGGATGAGCCGATCACTCCAGCTCCACGAATGCGAGCCGAGCACTCGTCACTTGTCTTTTCCCTCACTCTCTCGAAGCTCTAAAAAGCGTCAACTACACGAACTACAAGAAGCAGTTATCCCTCAAGATTTGACTTTTGTTCTCGCAAGAAGGCCTGCAGGCTAGCGTTTAGCCTGATTCTATGAGAGGGGAGTCGATACATTCTAAGTTACGGAATATAAACACAAGCACTGTTCGCTGTAGGGCGCGAGGGGCGTGGTCACTTGGTGTTTTCGCTACTCGCCTCCTAACAGCTTTGTATTCAACAGCTTGCACCTTATTGTGCAGAGCTGATTCCTGAGAATTAGCAAAGTTATTCCAACTCATCCCACATCGTAAGTCGCATAGCGAAATAATTAGTCATCACAAAATCAGGTAGCTTCTATGGCTGTCGCTGAGTACTATTTTGTGCCCTCACTAACCAAACGTGCTATAAACATTCGATATACATATATTAAAATGTATGAAGTTAATGCACTGAGCGGAAATTTTCGGGGGTTTATGTATTATAAAAGCGGAACAAAGCAAAAAAATAAATAGTGCCTACCGTAATCGTGGTTTGAGTTCGGGTATGATAATCCTTGTGACGACAAAAGTGTGGAGGGGGGCTCTTGGCGCGAAATGAATCTTTCCGCTGGCTAAAGCGCTATCGAGAAAAACCTCATTATTTTTACAAAAAATATTGATAAAGGAGCACAAATTTTTTAAGCTTGATAAAATTGATCAAAAATTCTACACTTTGGTTCTTTATTCCTATAGAATGATTTGTGAAAATACTTTGCGCAGCAGTAGCACGCAATTGGCCCACAACTTTCGACAGTGCCTCTAACGCTTTTCCTTGTTTAGAATCTGTTTTCATAGCACTGCATGCGTCTTTTTTGCTTTTAATTTCAGGAATAGTTTTCAAAAAATAATTACCGTACTTTGCACTCAAAAGGTCTCACTCCGGTATGTACTGGCATATGTCGGTTGAGGTTATACTGTGCGTTGAAAGCCTTCCCACATACTTTGCAAGAGATTTTAGACGTGTCTGGAAGAAAACAATGAAAAACAGTCAGAACATTGTTGTAAAATGTTTAATATCCATCTAATTATGAAAAAGCCCCAACAGCACATAAGTAGAAAAAAAGGACATTTAGATTTCACCAAGACTCTTGCAGTCCCAATCACGGCACCTTAAAGTCAGGAAACCTCATACCAGAGACGAAATACGACCCCAGATGGTTTGGTTGGTCAGGATACCCCATTCTGACGAGCTCATGTGCCTCAGAGGATTTTCTGATTGTTTATTTCTCGTCCCACGCGCTCTACGCATCACCCCTCCTCTTCTTCGGCGAGGTCGCATAAATACTTTTCTTATAATTGTTCAGATGATGCCTAGCTTCACCGCTCAACGGCAATTCGAAATTTCGGTAAGGTTGATTTTGGAAGGGGGTGGGGTTGTCGTGCGGAATTCGGGAAAGAGTCAAATTTAGCAAAAATAGTCCCCAACTCCGGTACGTGCCACTGTAGCCAGTTGACTGTAATTTGTCCAAACGACTACTATGAGGTGTCGCTTAAGCTTCTACAAAATCGATGCAAAGTTCGCGAAAGGCTATTGGGAAGCAAGACTTCTGGAGAATCCTAAATCTCCAATCCTAGTTCTCAAAGGCATGGCGCCGTTCATAGTATCAGATCTCTTTTTTAAAGCTTTACCAGGAGCTTGGATTATATCGGCGGTCATACACCCTTGATCGCTGCAGATGCTAGGGCGTGTTAGGGACTTGGGTTTGGGGCGGCATCATCCTCTTTCCCAGAAACAGTTGTCGCTTGCCTGTTTCAATAATTGGTGGGGATCGAGCTGGCGCCGCGCTTAACACATCCCGTGGCACGGCTTAGCATGCTAGACTGTAGGAACTGCAGGGTGTTACGGTTAGTAGCAGAATCTTGGCAATGCCCCATCTTTTTCCGCATTCATTTGGGAAGTTCCCTCCCTGAGAGAAAGATTCAGCTTTCAGATGAAAGTGAGGTTGGTAAGATAAGATCACTGACGGTGTGTGATAATTTTTATTCTAGCAGATTTTTTCTAGCGGCTGGTATTTTCCAGGAAACTTAGGGGCGTATGCCTGCATCTCAAAAGTTTGAGGTTACTGCTCTACTTGGAGTGCTTTGGAGACGAACTGTGAATATCATCATAAGAAATAGGGGATCTTTCACTGCCTTCAGTTGTCAAAAAAAGTTGGAGGAGAACAAGAGAATTCCGGAACTCAAACGTTATTGCAAAGGATCTAAGTACCTTGTTCATTGTAACGAGGGGAGGAATGTGCCTGAAGGCATTGGCTTCCGAAGCAAGCTGGGAAGCTCTGACAGCGATGACTTGAACGATCCAACGGCTGACGATATGACTCTGACAGAAGATTCGAAATGGAGAACCTCAAGTCAGGCCCCATTTGGCTGGCGTATGCACAACCAAAGACTGCCTCTTTTGACGCTCAGCAGCCCGCCTCCTACAGTCACGGAAGTGGTTACGGTAGCGTCTTACAGGGAGACTACATATCCACGGTATGGTGCAATAACACGAGGGTCGCAACTGTTTCTGCTGAGCAGAGAACATAAAGTGAGGCAAAAGCTTTTGCGCCGCGCATTATGTAGTCTTTCTTCTGCAACACACGTATTTGGTGGTTGTCCCTACTGATGGGAAGCATTTTTTATTGATTCAAGCGAGAACCTATCTATCCTCTGAACATTTAGCCCTTTGGATGTCGTTCCTCTCATCCACCTTCGTTGATTACAGGGCTTCAACGCGAATGAATTTCTGCTGCGGTTACCTCCAAAGAGCTCCTTTGCTTGGCGCAACAGTGTACATCACCGTGAGGTGTAGAAAACGGTAGCTGTAGGTAAGACCCCCCGCACCTAATGAGCGTGCTCGTTACTGACCCTCCCCCTTCCCACACCTTACCTACCTATCTTCCACATTTCCAGTTTTTCACACGCTTACAAGATTCCCGCGGAAAGGGGGTCCATATACTCCTTTTCATTGCCGGAACTGTCGCGCATCAGCCAGTAGGGCGTGCCATCACTGTTGAAGCCGTTCTCAGCGCCTTTTCGTTGAAACGCGTATGCGACAAAAAGTGGTAGAAAACGAGTAATACAAAGATATATAATGCTGTTATGTCATTTGATCGCTTCAACAACTGGTGCAGAAAGACTTTGGAACCGCGGAAAACGCAGCCGCACTGACCCGCCCCGACAGTCCGTAATGATGAGGAAGAGCTACAATATGAAACAGCAAAATCGACGCGAAACAGTCAACAACCGCAAAAATTTTTTCCAACGACAGCAAATTTCTCTCAAACGCCACACACGGACCCCCTCCCTAATCTCCAGCGACGACAACACGATCCCCTCCTCAGCAGAAAAGCACGACTCCCCCTATTTTTGTTTGATAACTGCTGTTTTACGCCGCAGTGCGCGATACGAAAGTTATCACAAGAATGCTGAGTTGTGGGCAAAAGTCGGACCACGGGCGGGACTCGAACCCGCATCTTCTAAGATGCGGGTTTCGAAGTCCCGCCGTGTCCGAACTTTTGGCCTACAATCAGTCATCTTGTGATAACTCCCCCTATGCGTTTTACACAACGATTGCTGTACCCTGAACGCAAATTGGGAGTAATCGAATTACCATTACAACTTGAGAAATTACACTAACAAGGGCACGATACCTTTCTTGAGGAAACTTCTTTTAACAGGCACGTTCCGTGATCGCCTGATGTGCAGCTGGTCCTCGTACAAGTTAGTCCTGTTGGAAAGCAGGAAGAATGTACCACTTTCAACGGCCCGATATTCATCACGCTGCCGCCACCTCGATTGTGAAGAAGGTAATGCCGAAATGCTGCTCCACAACCACCCAGTCTAGATTTCTGAAGTCATTACCCGGTGGTTGTTCCTCTACCAACTCGTTCCATTTCGGATGGTGCGAGTGAGGTGATCAGGGAAAAGACTAATATCGCTGTGATACCAACCAGTGAGAACTCGTCCAAGAATGTTTTTTATTCGCTGTTTGCTTCTACAATTGGGAGAGATAGGGGCTCCTTTCTGGACAGTTCGAAAGATTTTTTTTGTGCCATTAGTAATTGAGCCCCACAGCCGTGGTGGTCAGAAGGCTATGTAGCAAGAGAATCGTAAATCGCCGCGCGACATCGCGCCCGCTTGTGACGACGATTTTAGGTGGTATTGGTCGAGAATAGACAATGTATGACCAAA